GAGGATTATTGGTCGGCGAGCAGCGAGGACCAGATCTCCTTCCTTGAAGCTTCTCTCTCGGACTCTTTTTTTTAAAGCCCTAGACATCCTGGCCTGATAAAACTTAATTTGCTGTTGAGCTTCCAAGCACTTTTCATCCAGCCTCTTAAGCTCTTCGAGACGCTTCTGATGCTGTTCTTCTGTCGTCATCTCTGTTGCGAGGGCGATCCGAAGGGATGGAATCTGAATTTCCAGCGGTAGCACAGCTTCACATCCGTATACCAGTGAATATGGGGTAGCTCCCGTAGGTGTGTGTATGGTGGTGCGATAAGCCCAGAGTGCTTCACCGAGTTTATCATCCCAGTCTCGTTTATTAGTCTTCACAAGCTTTGACAGGATCTTAATGATCGTTTTGTTAAACGCTTCAGCTAATCCATTCGCAGCGGGATAATAAGCTGTCGACGAAACATCTTCAATTTTGAACTTGTCACAAAACCTGATGAAGGCGTTGCTTATGAACTGTGGACCGTTGTCGTGAATGATCCGTCTTGGCACGCCGTGTCGGTATATGACATGATGCTTGATGAAATTGATGACGTTGTTCGTCTTCACTTCTCTAAGCGGAGAGGATGAATCGATCGCCTTTGACTGAAGGGGGAAAAATAGGACCGACAATGTCCATACCCCATGTCTCGAATGGCCAAGACGTGGTTGATGTGTGCAACTGCTCTGGCGGTTGATGCATATAATTTGCATGTATTTGACATCATGATACTCTCTGGCATATTCGATTGCGTCGCGAACCATCGTTGGCCAGAAATACCCCATTCTTCTGATGCGATCATACAGTTTGGGACCAGGCTGATGCGCACCACATTCTCCTTCGTGAGCTTCCTTAAGAACTTCTTCTGCTTCTTTGTTCGAAAGGCATCGGAGTAACAAACCATCGTACCCTCTACGGTATAACATATGGGTCTCGGTATTCAGTGCATCCGCATAAGCGTTCTGGAGGCGAGGGATGTATTCGATAAAGAATTCTTCAAAAGATTCTGCCATTCTGATGGCTTCCTGGTGGTATGGGATCAGGTCAGGATTCCTGACTTCATACTCTCCGCGAACTTGGTTGACTATCAGTTGAGAATCCCCAAAAGCTTCGAGATATTCGACCCCCGGCTCCTTGGCAAAACTGAGTCCAATGAGAAGTGCGTTGTACTCTGCTACATTATTAGAGCACGTACTAGTCAATGAATAAGCCCGAGGCATCACATGTTTTCCCGGGGAGATTAAGACAACTCCAACCCCAGAGGAAACAGTAGAACCTCCCGGGGTTATTACCTTATTAACTGCCCTTGAAGCACCATCAAAGTATAATTGCCATACTTGTTGGTACGACGTGGTGTTAACCTCATGGGTTTCATCCGGCAAGTCATCGTATACTTCTGCCGTATCTGTGGTCGGGTTTGCCGCCAAAAGATCACAAATCGCTTGTCCTTTAATCGACTTCTGCTGTTTGAAGTGCAAATCATACTGGGATAAGAGAAGGGCCCACTTCGCTAACCGCCAATTCATAAAGGCCGGTTGCGTCATAAATACCCGTACCGGATTTACGTTGGAAATGACGTAAATCGTCTGTCCTACCAAGTAATGCCGCATCTTTTGCATAGCGAATACTAATGCGAAGCATTCTTTCTCAATCATCGGATATCGAGATTCCGCACCTACCAAGGTCCGACTTAGGTAATAAACTGCCTGTTCGTGACCACTATTATCGTCTTGTGCTAGTAAGGCACTTATCGAATGGTTCATCGCTTTGAGATAAATCAAGAACGGTTTACCAGATTTCGGTACAACGAGAACAGGGGGGTTCGCTAGATATGTCTTGATATCTTCGAATGCTTTTTGGCAGGCATCATCCCAAATAAACGATACTCCTTTCTTGTTCAGCTTAGAGAACGGTTGGCACATCCCAAAGAGATTTGAGATGAATCGCCGGATGTAAGCTAAACGCCCTTGCAATCCTCTGAGCTCTCTTAGA